GAGGGAGAGATTTGGTTTGTGATGGGAGAGATGTTGCCAGGTCTGCCAGGTCCAAGCAGTGAAAGCACTGAGAGTGCTGGATGGATGAGTAGGTGGGTTGGTAGGAGGATGAATGGGCTGGTGGCGTATGGATGGGTGGATGGGTGGGTGGGTGGATGGATGGATGGATGGGTGGGTGGATGGATGGATGGATGGATGGATGGATGGATGGATGGTCGTGTGGATGATAGATGGATGGATGGATGGATGGATGGATGGATGGATGTGTGGATGGATGGGTGGGTGGGTGGATGGATGGATGGATGGATGGATGGATGGATGGATGGATAGATGGATGTGTGGATGGATCGGTAGATAGATGGATGGGTGGGTGGATGGATGGATGGATGGATGTGTGGATGGATGGGTGGGTGGATGGATGGATGGATGGATGGATGGATGGATGGATGGATGGATGGATGTGTGGATGGATGGATAGATGGATGTGTGGATGGATCGGTAGATAGATGGATGGATGGGTGGGTGGATGGGTGGATAGATGGATGGGTGGGTGGGTGGATGGATGGTTGGGTGGATGGATGGGTGGGTGGATGGATGGATGGGTGAATGGATGGGTGGATGAATGGATGGATGAGTGGAAGGATGGATGGATGGATGGATGGATGGATGGATGGATGGATGGATGGATGCATGGATGGATGGGTGAATGGATGGATGGGTGCATGGATGGATGGGTGCATGGATGGGTGGCTGGGTAGTTGGGTGAGTGGATGGATGGATGGATGGATGGATGGATGGATGGATGGATGGATGGGTGGCTGGGTAGTTGGATGAATGGATGGGTGGATGGATGGGCAGATGGGTGTGTGGGTGGCTGGGTAGTTGGGTGAATGGATGGGTGGATGGGTGGATGGCTGGGTAGTTGGGTGAATGGATGGGTGGATGGATGGGCAGATGGGTGTGTGGGTGGCTGGGTAGTTGGGTGAATGGATGGATTGATGGGTGGATGGATGGATGGATAGATGGAGAGGTGGGTGGGTGGATGGCTGGATAGATGGATGGGTACATGGATGGATGGGTGAATGGATGGATGGGTGCATGGATGGATGGGTGCATGGATGGGTGGCTGGGTAGTTGGGTGAATGGATGGATGGATGGATGGATGGATGGATGGATGGATGGATGGATGGGTGGGTGGCTGGGTAGTTGGATGAATGGATGGGTGGATGGATGGGCAGATGGGTGTGTGGGTGGCTGGGTAGTTGGGTGAATGGATGGATGGATGGGTGGATGGGTGGGTGGCTGGGTAGTTGGGTGAATGGATAGGTGGATGGATGGGTGGATAGATGGATGGGTGGGTGGATGGATGGGTGAATGGATGGATGGGTGGATGGATGGATGGGTGCATGGATGGGTGGATGGGTGGCTGGGTAGTTGGGTGAATGGATGGATGGATGGGTGGATGGGCGGATGGATGGGCAGATGGGTGGGTGGGTGGCTGGGTAGTTTGGTGAATGGATGGGTGGCTGGGTAGTTGCGTAAATGGATGGATGAGTGGATGGATGGGTGGATGGGTGGGTAGGTGGGTGGGTGGATGGGTGGATGAGTGGGTAGGTGGGTGGGTGGATATGCCATTCAGCACCACCTCTTGGCTGGACTTTGGGCACGCATTCCCTCAAAGAGCCTCCATTTCACATCTGTGCATAGGGCACAGAGCTCCCTACCACAGGATTCACCTGTGAAAACACATTTAGCTGAGTACTTGGCACACAGTAGGGACTTAAAGTCCTGCTACTTCTGTTAGGCAGAGTAGTTGGTGCGCTGTCACTATATTCCTGAGAAATAACTTAGAATGGATTTCCCGCAGCCATCCCGGGAACCGTACTTCCAGCACGTTGGACCGCATCACTGACACAGGCTCCTGTCCCAGGTAAAACCAGCACCCCCGGGAACAGCCGCCCCTCGGGACAGGAAGGAAGACAAGGCTGCAGAATCCTGGTTCACAGGGAGCCTTCCCACCCCGAGCCTGGGTCTGGTCCAGCAGGGCACCCTGATGGCAGGGTGATGAGGATGTGAGCACTGTCACAGCCCTGAGACCAAATCCTGGCTGAGTCCAGTGATAGCCCTAACCCTACACACCTTCCCATACCCACGCCCTCTGCTGAGCAGCCCCGCAGGGCACCTGCTCCAGCATGGGACTCGCCTTGAGCAGACAAGGCACAAGCAGATTCCACATGGGATCTTGTATCGGGCTGCTTTCTCTCTGTGCCACTGCCACTGCCACATGGTCAGACCCCACTAGCCTGCAGAGATGAGAGACACTTGGGGAGGAGCAGAGAGCCAGGAGGGGCAGGGCCTTGGCAGCATCTATTGAGCGCCTGGATGCAGCCATGCCTGAAGGCATGGCTTTTCCTGCACTTTCCACTGGCTAGAGCCAGCAAATTGCTTCTTAGCCTAAGTTCGTTCGGATGATGTTTTGTCATGTGCAAAGCTGAAGGGTCCTAACAAAACACAAGTATGGGGGCAGAAAAGTGTCTCAGCACCAAGAGGCATCATAGAGAGGGGCTCCCAGGATGGGGGCTCCACAGCTCACCGACCTGGCAGGGCTTTTGTGGGGAAGGAGTGGCCCAAGCTGGGGTCCTGGACATAGCTCCTGCAGTGCCTGAGAGCAGGGGTGTGACTCAGCACATAGTACTGGCTTACGGTGGGCTCGGCGTGCTGGGCGCTGCCCAGGGGCTGTGCATACGTGACCACGCTTTTCCTCACAGCGACCTCTCTGGGAGGCGGGTCGAATGTTCCCCCTTTTGCAGATGAGGAGATCAAGGTATAGAGCTCAGACAACCTGCCCCAGATCCCCCAGCTGGGCTGTGGCAGAGCGAGCACGTGCTGTGCCGGTGCTGGGACTCACGGAGCCACACAGACACGGCCCCAGCTGCTCCGGGCGGTCCCGCGGGTGACTAGGAGCCTTCCGCGCACCGGCGAGAGGGGAGGCCCAGAACGTGCCGGCCCCTGTGAGGCAGGCAGGAGCCAGCCTTTGAAGGGAGCCACGAGGAACGGGAGGCTGTCCCTCTGCCGAAGGCCACCTCCTAAGATGCCTCCGGACATGGCCCCACGTGCCAGGTGTCCCTGCTACCTCCTCGAGGGCCCTGCCACACTGGGGAGAAGCTCGAGGACAGAGATGTGCCTGGCTGGTTCTGTGCACCAAGAACCCCTCCAGGAGCCTGGCAGGACAGTGCCTGAGGTGCAGGGGTGCCCAGGAGGACAAAGGGTTCAGGAGGACACCTTCCCCCGTAGAACAGCCCCAGGCTGTGACATCTCCCCTTCCAAGGCTCCCTCTGGCCACCGGCAATGCCAAGCTGGGGCCCCCGCCCTCATCTCGTGATGTGCACGCAGCCCCAGGGGTCCATGCTGTGATCAGCCCAAGGTCCAGCCGGCAGACCGAGCCTCCTGAGTGGTGGAGCCACGTTTCTGACCCAGCATGGCCACACGCAGGCATGCACGGGGCTCAGCTGGACAGCCAGGTTCGCGTCCTGGATGTTGGGGTCACAACCAAGCAGATTCTGCCAGCAGGACGGACAGGGCAACATCTGCAGCTGTCCCACGGCCCAAGTGGAGGATGCTACAGCTGCGCTCTGTCCTCAAATGGAAGTGTGTCTTTCCGCCCGCTTTGCTTTGTCTTTGCACTCGTGCGATCTTCTAGCATTCCACAGCATGGAGGAAGCCTGGCGTCCACTCTGGAACAAGGCTGGGTGCAAGCAACAGACACACACACACGCACCCGGACTCATGCGTGCACGTGTACACTTGGCATGTGCCCTGTGTCTCATGGTGAACACAGCCCGGTCATGACAGGACCCACCTCTCCATTGGAGAAACCGAGGCTCAGAGAAGCAAAGGGGGCTGGCTGGACCCCAGCTTTTTCCAGAAAGGGTCAGAGACAGACAGGAGGGACTGACCCAACCATTTGGATGCCCAGCCGAGCCCCAGGCAGGACCTGGGTGTCCACGGCAGCCTCTGCCCCCAGGGGGCTGGCTGAGCGCCAGAGATCACAGGGACACCCATGCCAGGAACAAGACAGAGCCCAGGCTGGGCCCGAGGGGGTGGGGATGAGCCAAAAAGTGGGGCCCAGAGCTGTGGCAGGAACAGGAGGCAAGGATGATGCTGGGCAGAAGGGACAGTGTGAAGCCCAGCAGGACCAGGGCACCTCCACCCTCAATCTAGGCTCTCATCCATCCCCAAGAAGCAGGCAGGATCTCCTAGAACTTCCTAGAACCTTCTGGAGTGTGGAGTGACAGCAGGGGAAAGGTATTGGAAAGTAGCCACCCAAGCCTCTTTTGATGAGGTCCGAGGGAGGGGCAGGGTGTGCCCAGGGTCACAGAGCAAGTGGCCAGGGCCCTGCCTCCTAGGCCTCGCCTCTCCTTGACCTGGAGCCCCAGGGCTCCTCCAACCCTGAGATGCCACCAAAACACCCCAGCTAGATCCAAGGGCTGGGCCCCGACAAGGCCTCCTGGCCTGGCTCCCGGGCTGCTCGACCAGCCCAGAGCCCCACTCTCTCCTCCATTCTTGCTCAAACCCCCAGAGCAATGGAGTCCTCCTGTGCTGGGGACCCTCTCAGACCTGACCTCTGATCCCTCCGCCATCCCCCAAGGGTGTCCACGTGCTCAGCCTAGCTAAGACGGATAGAAGAAACCATTCTCTAAGCAAGTGGGAAGTAGACACATCTGTGAGGGCCTAGGTGCTCATGGGAGGACCCATGCAGTACAGAAAGGAAAACAGACTGGCCCAGTGGCCGGGTGACCAATGCATTCATTGGTCGCCACACCCAAAGGGGACTTCCCAGGAGCTGTCGTCTACTCACAGCAGCAGGTCCTAAATGACCTCACTCAGCCTTGCTGCCGACTTGCCCTACCTTGCTCTCGGCTGCAGGTGGGCAAAAGGGCAGAATGAAATATCTTGAAATTCTCCCCAAACAAGGAGTTCTCAGTAAGTCCACACCGCACTGATTTACTCATTTCACAAAGGTTTATTGGGCGTCTCCCTGGCGCTGGTTCCGGTTTGTCACTGCAGAGGATCCTGGCTTGGCCAGCCTGGGAGGGGCAGGTCTGGAGTGGGCGGCAGACACGGAAACCAGCGGTGACACACAGCTGCTGTCCAGGCTGCAGCGGTGGAGGACAGCTGAGGGAGGACGGAGAGCTGTGGCCAGGGAGGGCCCAGTGGAGGTGAGGGCCACGGAGGAGGAGGAACAGGAGTCTCCAGGGGGAAGGAGATGGGAAGAGGGAACAGCATGAGTGGAAGCTCAGAGGAAGGAAAAGGAAGGAAAGCACCCTCAGCATCAGGAGGCCAGTGGGGCGGGGATGGGGGCAGGGGGGAGGCAAAGGGCCAAGGAGGGCCAAGACCCAGGCAGGCTGGGGCGAGGGCACAGAGGCACGCACCTGTAGTTCTCCAAGTCTCTTCTCCAGGTGTGGGGGCTGGACCACCTCCTCTTTGCAGCCTCAGAAGGTCCTGCAGGGAGCGCGGAGGGCTACTGGGACACCCCACCCCAAAGGGAAGTCTCAGTGACAACCTCTCGGGGCACTAGGTGCTGCTCTACCAGAAGGAAGACAAGGCTGCGCCTACGGCACCCGCGCCCACCACACCCTAGGCTGGGCGGGCTCAGAGCGGTCCACCCAGCCCGCCCTTCCACAGGCAGACAGCCCCGGGGGATGGTCTCGGATCAGGAGGCCATCCAAAGGCCAGCCCTCCCCAGCTGTGCCAAGGCCCTGCCGCCTGTCCCCTCCCCCAGCCTCACTCCCAGTTGCTCCTAGACACCCAAGGACCCAGTCCAACTTGTCCTTCCTTTTCTTTCCCCCGCCCGCCCCCTGCTGGAGCTGTGAGAGGGCGGGCAGGAGGGGGCCAGGGTGGCAGGAGGAGCAGCCCCAACTCCAACTCTGGTCCCACCAGAGCGGAGCCTGCCGGGCACACTGGGGCCGCCTCTGGGTGATGCCTGGCACCTCACCAAGGCCCTGGTGGGTCTTGGCCCTGGGCTAGCACTCTCCCTCCTGACCCTCTGGGACAGGACAGAACAGTGTGGGCAAGAGGCAGGAGGGGCCAGGGCTACGGTGAGCTGGGGGTGCACCCCTGGAGGGGCCGGGGGCACACGAGCTGCTCTGGAGGAGGGAGGGTCTAGAAGAGGGAGAAGAGGGCCGGAGAACAAGGCAGAGGGAGGACATTGCAGGAGGAGTCACCAAGCCGGGTTCTGTGGCCCACAGACTAGCATCACCTGGGTCTCAGGTCTGTCCTCACCTGCACAACAGGCTGTGGGAGCCAGATGGGCCTGAGCGCCTTGTCCAATGTTCTGGAATCCTGAGGTGTGGAATGTAGTCTGTCTGCCCAAGAAACAGCAACAGATCAGCCAGAACAAGTGACAGCCCTAAGAACAAGCGTTGCTCTCCTGAGCGTGCCCAAGGCTAGAAGAGCATGGGCCTGCTGCTGCTACCGCTTGGGCTGGGCCCCCAGAGGGACCCGTCTTACATCTGCCCAGACCATGCCTTCCACTCAAGCACACACGCACTCACAGGCAAATGCACACAACACACACCCACATGTGTGCACACACACACACACACACACACACACACACCCCACCCCAGCAGATCCCAGGCAGCACAGAAAGGCTCTCCCAGCCCAAGGCAGCTTATTCATTTTCTGAAACTGACTGTGGGAAGGGGTCATGGGGAACCACCCCATGTCCCCACCCTGAGGGCTGTGTAGGCAGAGCAGGACACAAGCCCGACACTGGCACCTCCCAGAAACCAAGGAGTCAGGGCTTGAGAGATTGTCCAACAAAATCTGGAACCCCCGACATCCCCCTGTCCCTGCCCAGGAGAAAGCAACCTCAGAAGTCCCCCCAATATCTTCTCAAAGGCCTGCCGAGTAGGCCTCTCTCTACTTCTCCCTCCGAAGAAAAGGGAGCAGAGAAGGGGGGATCTGCTAACTCTGAGGTGCTCTGCCACAGTGGGGGCAGGCAAGTGTATCCCCCAAACAGGTTTGGCTAACGGAGGATTGGACAGCCCACCAGAAAGACCCCTACTCAGGTGGCAAGGGGCAGTTTGGGGGCACTAAGAAGAGGAGAAAGCAGGCTGGCTCCCCGTAGGTAGGAGGTTCCCGGGTGTGTGCCCCCTGCCCCAGACAGCACAGGAATCGCCCGACTGGAGAGAGGGAAAAGGGAACACACACAGTGCCCCCCTCGCGTCCTCCACGCACACTCAAGGGCTTGACCTGCAGGAAGACACAGGTCTTGTGGGGAGCTCACGCGGCAGAGGGTCTTACCAGGGCCCCAAAAGCAAACCGGAGGGGAAGACATATGCCCAAGGCGGGTGCCTATTTGCGCGCCCGCTGGGGCCCTTGTCCTGCAGTTGACTTCTCCCAACTTGTTCCTTCGCTGCCGAAAGCGATTCGCCCGCACCCTGTAGGGCCCAGCCAGCTCCTACCTCGGCCCTGGGAGCAAGCGCTGTCTCTGTCCGAGAACTTAGGCAGCTGGTACCTGGGCGGCAGGCGCACGGGACGCAGGCGGTGGCGGCAGTCTCGGACTCTGGCTCAAGCCCCGCCGCTCCAGACAAGACCCCGCGACTGCGAAAGCGTCCTAGGCAGCTCAGCTCTCCAAACCGGGGACAAACCGCTGCAACCTGACCCAGGCCTTGCCCCGGGGGACACAGCGGCCCAAGGCGAAGGGAGACCTGCTGCCGGCCTATGGGGACCTAGGTCAAGGCACTGCCCCGCCCCGCCGCCCCGCGGCTCCGGAGCCCAAGTCGCCGACCCCGCGCCAAGCGCAGCGAGGTATCAGAAGGTCTTGGACGCGGCGGCAGGGCTGGCCAGAGCTGGCCAGGGCCCCACGTAGTTTGGGAGTTGCCCCGCACCCCTAAAAGCCTCAACACACATTTACGGTTGAAAGTACGCACTTTACGCCTCCGGGCGCCTCCGCGGTGAGTCGGGCCGCCGCGCTCGGGGTCCACGAAGGTGGCTCAGTTCGGGCGCTCCAGTCTCGACGTTCCCGGGGCAGAGAGCAACGTCCGGGGACGAACGGGACGGGTGCGCCCGGCGGCCGGGGCTGCGCTGGGCGAGGCAAGCGGCGAGAGGGGAGCGCTCCGGCGTTCAGGCAACAGCTACCCCTAGTGGGAGAGCCGCCCGGGGCCGGCGCCGCCCCGCGCCCGCTGCCCTGCGCCCCGCGCCCGCAGCGCCCCGCGCCCGGGGCGCTCCTGGGTCGGCTGGAGGCGCAGGGCCGGCGGCGCTCTCCCTGGCCCTCCCCGTCTCCGGCGCTGAGCGCTAACCCGCCCGCGGGCCCTGCCCTCCGCACCTCCCAGCTGGGCCCGGGCGGCCGCTGACCCAGGAACCGCGGCGCCCCGCTGGAAGGAGATGGGACGGGGCGGGCGCGGCCGGAGCGGCGCGGGCTGGAGCGGCGCGCAGCGGCCTCGGGCAGCGGCGGGGGGCGCGGAGCGCGGTGTGCGTGGCGGGGCGGTGCGGGGGGCGGCCGTGTGCGAGGCGCGAGTGTGAGCGCGCGCGGGAGGCGGGCGGGCGGGCTCCGGCAGGAGAGCGGCGCCCGCGGGCGAGCCGGGAAGGCGGCGGGAACCCAAAGTTGCCTCCTGGCGGGCCCGCGTCCTCGGCGGGGCGGGAGCCTGGGCCACGGAGGCGGCGACCGCGGACCTGGACTCCCGCGGCACCTGGGCAGCGGCCCCGCACGAGCGGCGGCGGCGTGGGCGGCGTTGGCGGCGGCGCGCGGGAAGCGAACCGGAGCTCCGGCGCAGCGCGGCGGCCGCCGGGGAGCTCAGCTCAGGTGCGCGGCGAGAGGGGCACGGGCCGGAGCCAGGCCGCGGGGACTCGGGCCGCGCGCAGCGCTGGCCTTAGCCGGAGGACCTCCACAGCGGACGGCCAGGTCCCAGGTCCGGCTCCTGGTCCCCTGCGGCAGCGGCGGCTGGGGTCCCCGCCTGGAGAGAAGGCTGTGGGACCCAGTCCCGCCCCCACTTGCCCCAGGCCGGGCCGCTCCGCCCTCGGCCCGCCTGCGCCCGCCCCCGGCCCACGATTTCTAGGGCATTGGCCACACCGCTGGGTGATCCCTCCGGGCTCAAGTTGCAAGGGGGCGGGCCAGGGCCGGAGGTGGAGTCTCCCGCCAATTGAAGCCGCGGCTATAAATTGAGCTCCCTGCACGGCCGAAGCCCAGATGTCTCGCCAGGCCGCATCGCGGTTGGTGGTCGGCGAAGGTGAAGGGTCCCAGGGGGCTTCTGGGCCTGCAGCCACCATGCTCCGCTCCCTGCTGCTTCACTCCCTGAGGCTCTGCGCCCAGACCGCCTCGTGCCTCGTGCTGTTCCCGCGCTTCCTCGGCACGGCCTTCATGCTCTGGCTGCTCGACTTCCTGTGCGTCCGCAAGCATCTTCTGGGCCGCCGCCGTCGGGAGCAGCCCGAGCCCGAAATGGAGCTCAACAGCGAAGGTGAGGAGGTGCCCCCCGACGACCCGCCCATCTGCGTGTCCGACGACAACCGCCTGTGCACCCTGGCGTCGCTCAAGGCGGTGTGGCATGGCCAGAAGTTGGATTTCTTCAAACAGGCACACGAGGGCGGCCCGGCGCCCAACTCTGAGGTGGTCCTGCCCGACGGCTTCCAGAGCCGGCGCATCCTTGACTACGCGCAGGGGAGCCGCCCGCTGGTGCTCAACTTCGGCAGCTGCACCTGACCACCATTCATGGCGCGCATGAGCGCCTTCCAGCGCCTGGTCACCAAGTACCAGCGCGACGTGGACTTCCTCATCATTTACATTGAGGAAGCGCACCCCTCTGACGGCTGGATCACCACAGACTCTCCCTACATCATCCCGCAGCACCGGAGCCTGGAGGACCGGGTCAGCGCCGCCAGGGTGCTCCAGCGAGGGGCGCCCGGCTGCTCTCTGGTCCTGGACACCATGGCCAACTCCAGCAGCTCGGCCTATGGCGCCTACTTTGAGCGCCTCTACGTCATACAGAGTGGCACCATTATGTACCAGGGCGGCCGTGGCCCTGACGGCTACCAGGTCTCCGAGCTGCGCGCCTGGCTAGAGCGCTATGATGAGCAGCTGCACGGCGCCAGGCCCCGTAGGGTGTAAACAGCCAGTGGACAATTAACTGAACTTGGCGGGCTTGGCCTTCGAGCATTCGAAGCCCGCGTGCAAGCACCCCAAACGAAGTCGTCAAGCTTGGCGAGGCCCCAGGGACTCAGATGCGCTGAGCCACGGATCTCAGGCTGAGTGCACCCTCAGCTACCTGAACACTCTGCTCTCCCCTACCTCCCCAAGACTCTGCTTCCGTGATTGTCTCACTATGCCTGCCGGGCTCACTCCAATTCCCTTTGTGAGCGCAAATGCGGTGCACCCTTGCCTGCGTGTGCCCAGGACTTGCCCCTACAGCACTTCCTCGCACCCACTCCCCAGCGCAGCTTCAGCCGAGCTTCGGGCCGCGCCCCCCACTGCGCAGAGACCTTGGTCGTGTCCACCCGCCCTGAGCGCAGCTGGGTTCCCACAAGCTCTCTGCTCCACTTGAGCTAGTTGCTTGGCACCCACCTGTCGCACGCGCGGGGAGGAGGTGCCCTACTGCTTTTGTGTCTATGTCTTGTTCCTGAGTCGGGGGAGGGGATGGGTTCGGGGTGGGCAGGGTGTTTTCCCCCCTTGTTTTGGTTGCTCAGGAGCCCCACTGCTGATGACGGACTGTCCCTAACTGGTTCTGACCACGGGGTAGTTCTGAATTGCAGGGGACTTGAAGCAGCGCCTAAACCTAGAGGGGAGAGTGCTCTGGGTTTCCGTGAGGAAACCACCTCAAATGGGTGGGTGGGAGGTTGGGGGGGTCCAGTGGGACAGAGGAAGATGGCTTGAGAGGAACTGGCAAGGTTTGCAGCGCCCCAGGGAGAGACAAGAGGCTGGGACTCCTGGGGGATGGGCTTGGATGGCGGAGTCCAGGAAAGAGAGATGGGGGAGAGCCTGGGACCCCGAGCGAGGGGAGTCGGGGCAGAGCTGCCGATTGCGGGCCGGGAGGTGGAGGGCCCCTGATTCGAAGGCAATTTGGTGACTCTTTTGCTTGAAATGTTTCCTGTATATAAACTTCTTGTAAACTACAATAATAAAGGCTTGAAGTAAACTGCTTTCTGGGTGCCCTTGGTCCCTTTATTTTCTCTTCCCTCTGAATAGCGGCAGGAATTAAACACAAATCTCTCCCTCGCGCCCCCATAGTGACCCTGGGGAGAAGGGAGGAGGGAAGGAGCCTAAACTGGCAGGGGCCGGCGGAGAGTGGAGCGGGAAGAGGGTCTGCGGCGGCGCCCGGGGCGCCGGTACACTGCAAGCCTGCACCTGGGCCGGGAACTTGGGGGCGGGAGAGGGCGAGGAAGCGCAGCCCGCTGGGTCCTGGAAGGAGGCGGGAGAGGCTAGGGGGTCCTCACTTGCGGCCGCGCGCGCCTGTCGCGAACGGTTCAGCTGCCCCTGCAGCCGCCCGTCTAACTTCTCGGAGCGTCGGGCGGCGTGTGTGGCGAGGGGTGAGAGGTGGTGTGGAGGGCGAGGGGGCTTTCAACCCCGTAGAGCTCCGCTCGCGCCCACGGCGGGAGCCACCGGGCGCCCCGCTCCTCCCTCACGCCCTTCTCGCACCTGCAAAATCGTCTCCCGCCAACCCCGCATGGCTGCTGGGCTCCACGGCAGACGCGCCGTGGCGGGACAGTGCCACCGCTCCAGCAGCAGCTCCTACTGCCGGGCCTGGGGTGCTGCGGAGAGCGCCTCCTGCCCAGGACGCCCGCCCGCCTGCCTCTCGGCCGCATCCCCAAGCTCCAGCCGTACCCTATTGCCACCGGCAACCCGCTCGGGGCTGGGAAGCAGCGACCACAGCGAGGATGAGCAGAGAGAGACCAGAAAGAGGAGGTGACCAACTTGGGGCGGGGGCGGGGGCTGGGGCCTTTGGCACACACAGGTCCCCCAGCAGTCATGGCTGGCGCCCCCACGCAATCCCCGCCCTCCCCTCTCCCCTCCTGCTCCCAGCGTGAGCGCGGGGTTAGCGCGGGCCGCATCTCCCTCCGCCAGTGACACCTGGAGAGCAAGAGGTGGCGGACAGAGTGAAGGTCGCTGAGCCATAGTGCGCAGATGGGGTGAAGGGACAGGACCGCCGACCGTCCCTGGCTGGCTGGGACAGCGCCTGGGAACCCGGGACCGTCCGGGTGGGCAGGAGGGATACTGCGCGCCCAGGCGCGGGGGCGCTGCAAGCTGGGAACGGGGGTGCGGTAGGCTGGATGGAGGGGACAAGAGACGCCCCTGTTCCGCCATCGCCGCCCCAGTTCTGCGCCCAGCCCCCATGCTGGTCCTAGGTGAAAACTTTTTGGAGCTGACACCCTAAATTTGGGCGCTTTTTTTTGCCTTAAAAGTATCTCAACTGAAAAATAACTTTTAAGAAAAACAATGGCACCCATAGAGTTTTGCATCTTCTCCCCCCAGCGCGCGCTCCTCCTCACCCCGAAACGCCCAGAAGGAATGCAGAGAAGCTCCCCGAGCTCCAGGCCCGCGCGGTGGCCCGGGCTGGGGTTTGGTGCTGCGGAGGAAGTGGAGGCCGGCCGGGGACAATGGGAGCCGCCACTGCGCGCAGCAGGGGATGTTCCGGCCGCTTGGGGTCCCAATTCGCCACTTGGGAGTGTCCTCAGAGGACCCCTCTCCCCGAGGAGCCTTGTGCCCCGAGGGCCTCCTCGGACTTCCCTGACCCAAACTCCAAAGCGCGCTTTTGGGCGCAGCGCGAGGACCTGCGTCTCGGGCCACTCCCCGCGCGGATCAGACAGCTCCAGGTCGCCGCTCCAGGGGAGTCAAAACATGCCTCGACTCCTTTTTTTTTTTTCCTTCTCTCTTGTTTGTTCCCCTCCTCCCTTCTTCCTCTTCCTTTCTTTCTCTCTTCCTTTCCCCTCTTTCTTTTCCTGTCTCTACTTTCTTCTTTCTCTTTTTCTCTTTTCCTTGAAAATCTCCCCTTGTGTAAAAACAGAAAAGTCCAGAGAAGAAAATAAAACCACCCCAAGGTCACCTGACAGTGCGTGGACTTTCAAACTTGTCTCTCTCCGCGCTCCACCCTCCACCCCAGTTGTAATATGTATTTTAAAACCAAGAGGGGGACTATCCTTTTGTAGCCT